CCGATGTCTCTTCCTTATCGGTACTGTCATCAGCAAGTTGCTCCTGAAATACGCATAAGCCACTTAACGATGATGAATGATACTTACTGGTTATTATACACTCATCTTACATTTCACCACTGCTTATGTTGCCAAATTTCTTGCTTAATTTATCTCATAATAAGTGTTGTTGATGATCTGTAGGAGAAAAACGGCCTTTCTGGGCCAGCTTAGAGCGATGCTGTTCGTTTTTTCAGAAATGTTAGGAAACAACAACTAGTGTTGGTCAGCTGCGCGGTTTAGAATCTCGCAAAATGGAGTGTTCGGGAATTGTTACCTGTAATTCATGGATGTAGTCGATGATGTACTGCAAAAGTTCCAATTGTGTCACTGCTTGCTGCGCATGTGGTACCATTGAGCGCAGTCTGTTCATCAGCTGATACTGCTGGCGTCGTCGTTGACGAGCGAGGAAGGCACTTCTGACTCGCCCATCGCGTACGTACGACGGATGGTACTCGGAATCTGATGCACTGCTTAGGGGAAAAGGTGGCGAGACCACACGCATCTCGAAGCAGCGCAGCGTAGAAACTCGCCCCACTGGACGTACTGCAACAAATTGTCGGGGGAACCAAAACAAGAAGTTGACGATACCCGCTGCTGCCGTTACTACTACTGGAGGACCGGATGATCATACACACACACTGGCTGCATTTGTTGCGGGAAATCCGACAAGTAGTCACGCCTTCTGCACCTCAACTCCTCCCTCGGAGGGCTGTAGACTCCGCCTGCTCAATGAACTGAACAGCTGGCACTGCGCTGCTGCACCTGCTCCTCCTGGGAAAATGCTCGTCGAGCACATGCATGGGAAACTTTTCCCAGGCTCAAATTAGTTATGCAAATGCGTCCGAGGAACTGTGGGAAATGGCAACGGAAATGAGGGTGGATGCATGATGGTGTGGCCACCAATGACAATGATGGCACGCATCGGTGGCAACAACGATGCTTTTGTGTTGGATGCGGCACGGCATCACTGGGGTTTCTCTGGAAGGATTCTAGAAAACATTTGTCCAGCGGGCTATCCAAGTTATCAAAAAAAAAATCTTTCTAAGAATAGCATTTTTTTTAACAATCTGCACAAAATGATTAAATTTTTTGGTGATAAAATAGTTGTAATAGAAATATTAATCATGCTGTGAAATATGGTCCAGCTACACCATCATCACAATTGTATTAAAAAACTGCATGAACAGGAATGTTTCGGCCCAACAAGTCCTGGATATTTCTATTCGGCACCACAACTGGATCCGTCAGTACAAGTAAGATTGAAAAATAAAATTAAATTTATTTGATTAAGAGGAATTACAAGTGTTAAATTTATAAGTCGAACACATAGCACGGTTACAGCTATTTGACAGCGAAAGAATTTATTTGCAAGATCTTGAAGAGGCAATGGAAGAATTCCTCGTGCCTCCCTCTTTTCAGTGAAGTTGTAATAAATTTCTCCCTTCTCTCACTACTTTGTCCGCGCCCCTCTTCAACTCATGATTATGTGGGGGGGATGCAGAAGTAGCAAGAAATCCAACGCAGAAACAAAAACATGAGCAGATTTTCTCACTATTTTTTTTAAAGCAATTGTGCGTTTCCGGGTTTGCTAACTCTATAGTCTTGCTTCCGATGCAGTGCCCTTCTCTGAGCATTTTAAACAGAGTTGCGATAACAAGAATTCTTATTTTTCCTCATACAGGTGGCCACTGGTATGCCACTGTTTGCAGTTCATCTTCACTGCTTTCATTCCCGATTACCGGAAACGAATTCCAGTTCTTCCGAACTTCGATCTGATTAGCTCCCAGTACAAGTCCTGCGATGTGTGCTACAGGACTGTTCAGGAATTGCACAAAATCACCGCATGAATGCCAGCAAAAAAGCATATACTCCTTGAAGGACAAGGAAAAAAATGTCCGCATCATCACTACGTTGATCAGAAGATGGCGCATTTTCGACCGCAAGTACTACGGAAGACTTTTTTTTGATCGAAAAGTGTTGCCGAAAGGCGAAAAACTGTGTAGTTGATGATTGTTTTCTAAAACACACTGTTCGAGGCGTTGTTTGGGGGAACGGGGTGGGGGACTTTTTCTGAACAATGTACCTTTTGTCGTTTATTATTACAAATAAACGATTGAGGAGCAGCGGTGGCACGGGTCTGGTGCGAGGATCTGGCTGGAGCAAAGAGTTCTCCGTGACGTTTTTCTTTTTCTTCGCAGGAGATTTTTTTTAACTTTGTCCCCTGAACGACTGGGATCAAAGCAACGAAATGATTATCCCGCTACAACTGATCTCCTGGAAATCGCGTATAGCCGAGC